TGTTTCAACTCAATTATAAATCAATCTCAGTTGTAACACAGTCCTTATAATTTTGACTAGATTATTACTCAATCTCTATAATTTAACCATTTAATAAAAAAATTAGTCCACATATTTTAGAAAAATAAAATTAATATTTCTTGAAGTTCAGGGCAATGGTTGTGACTCAGGAATTGAGTTGCAGTCCAGTCAAAACTTTAGGGAGTCACTTGAACCCATTTAATGTATAAAAACTGAGACAAGCTAAAACTATGAACCCATTTAACAGATAAAAGATTAATTTTTCGTAATTTATAATGCGTTGACTTACTTCGAATAGTGTTCTTCAACCTCCTGGCTTTAATGATAACAACGAAGATGACCAGTGCGACGAACGCAACAGTTGACACAACTATGGCAACAACAATTCCTGTTGCGTTTCTCTTTCCTGTACAGGAAAAAAAAAAACAAGAAGAAGAAAAGGATTTTCTGCTCACAAGTATAACATGTAAATTAGAGATTGCCCCATTCAAGCAAATTCTAGAGAGATATGTAAGTTGCTAGAGATTGACTCTGATCATCTTTTACCCCCTTGTGTGTGTGTGTGTGTGTGTGTGAACCGCATGCAAATATTGATACCTTTCTTGGGTGCCGTCGGAGGAGCAATTGGCGAAAGAGGAGACGGCGGCGACTGTAATGATATGAATGGTTGTGCAGCCGCAGGATCAAAGAAGAGGTAAGTCTCATATACAATGCTGCAACTGGGTCGCAACACTTCGCCACCTTTCATTCCATTGCAACATTTCGGAATTTCCGAGATTGCTCCATTCAAGCAAGCTCTGCAAGCGTTCTGTGACAAGTCTGGCGTGCACTGTACCAGACCATATATCGTCTGATTGCTCGGACCTGTCGCATTCGCCACCGCGAACTTCCGAACAGAGTTGCCGGAAGAAGCCCTGTCTCTTAAAAGATTCATCATCTTCGTCACCACGCTCTTGAACTGGTCTTTCTTCAACACATCATGTGTGTCCGACCGGTAGAAATATGGCGATGTTTCCATGAGACCGAATATGGTTCGGTTGGAATATCGCAGGAAGCAGTTATCGTACCAGCCGATCGCCTCCTTCACGTTAGGGCAAACCTGGAGAAGAGTAATCCTTGCATCTGCGAGACAACTGCGACAATCTGGTTCCTTAACATCTCCTCGGCAGAGTGCGATGGCGTTAACCCTGTCGGATTTACTGCCGGAGGAGAAGTTGTAGAAGCCATAGTCGATTTGCGTGTTGGAGATATTCATCAAAAGGTTTTTGAGATTGGTCTGAAAGGTACTGTTGCTATCATCAGTAGTCCCAGTACAGTTGAATTTTAAGAAGTTTGATTGGGCATCAGTGCCCTGATGAGACGTTAGCGTTAGGTCAAGGAGAAAGAAGAGAAAGGAGAAGAGCCTCATTGTGACAATGGTAAGAACTAAGAGTAGTAGTGAAAGTGTTTGAGATTTGGGTGATGAGGTTTGTGTTTATAAGATATTATCTCTCAGCCCTAAATTAATCAATTAAATCTTATACTACCTTCAATCCTAACTATGAGATCTTATTTACAAATTACAAACAATGTCTTATAATTAAAACCAGAGGTAATATTAAGGATGTGAGGCAATATATCGTAAATGCCTCTGTCTCCACATAACCTTGTGGTTGGGGAGATCAGGCGCGGACTAAGTCCTACCTTTCTAGAGTTTACCTTAATTTGCCTTTTAAATGTTATATTTGTGTGTATTAATCCCAGATACTTATTATAAACATGTAATAATAGCTTTATATAAATTAATAAAATTAGTTAAAATTAGATATTTTTTGCAAAATTTTAAAATTATCATCCGTAAAAGTTATTAGTTAGAATGAAGACTTTGATTAATTAGTCAGCAAGTTTTATAATTAGTTAGAAATGCAATGTGTAAAAGATTGATAATTTAGACAAAATATATTAATTATATTTCAAATATATTAATTATATTATGAAATATGTTAGCAATCTCGATAATAAGCGCGGACACACATTATTGTATGGGGATCTAGCTAGTATTATTATAATTTATTGTATGTAGTTGCTGTTTTTAACAGAAGATTTTGTTTATTTGTTTCAATAATACATAAAAATATTTTAAACATCAATAAAATGAGGTTCTGACTTGTGAAAGATAAATCAACAATCAAAATTAAAATCATTTCAAATATTCATTGTCACACAAAAAATAGGACTAATCTACATATTTGAAAACTAAAAGCGTCCTTTTATCTTTTATTTTACATGAGATTTCATTTTGATCTCTTAATTCTATAAACTATCTTTTCAGTTTTTTAACCCCAATGCACTTAACAAAAAATATTCAGAAACTGAAATTTTAAACATCAACAAAATGTTCAAAAAAATTATCATATTAATTATAATTTCCAAAATAATAATATTTGTCACAAAAATCAACATTTGTGACTAATGAAGTTAGGGTTAGATAACCGGAAAAAATATTTTTAAAAATTAAGGGATCAAACTTAAATCTTATATAGAGTTCGAGAATTAAATGAGTGTTACCTATTTTAAAATATTAATGAGCAACCATTTACGCATGTATTGATAACAAACACAAATGTCACTAGTAAAAATAGGAGGAAAAGATAAAAAGGAAAAAATTTGGTGAAATTTGAGTGGTTACATATTCATCATATACTTTATTCTAACTGGGGGAAAGCAGGATAATAATAAATGTAAAATTGTATAGAAAAAATTATAAAATTCACTTATAATTCTTAAACAAACTCGAGTGATATTAATAAATTCATATGAATAAACAAGATTACCTTTGTCCTTCCACTAAATGAGATCCAAGGTTGCTCAAAAGAGAACCAATTCACTTCTTATCTTCATTGCTAGATTAATTTTAAACGGTCAAACTTTAATATCATGTAAGAACATTATTATAACATCAAATAATGTGTATAATTAAACTATTAAAATATTACCTATCAAAACTGCAGAGGATTAAAAAAAATCAACAAAAATATTCACCCGTAAAAATCATATTTTAACAGTATAAAATTATTTATATATTCTTGATCAAAAAAATTTATTTATATATTTTTTGTTATTTCATAATATAATTTTTTTATAACATTAGATCTCAATTACTCCCTCTAATCGTTTTTGTAAGAGCCTGATAACTAAATTATGTGGTTTAAGAAAATAGTTAAAATTAGTTAAAAGTAATAATATGTAATAAATGGACTTTGTAATGCAATATATAAAATTAATTAGGAACAAAATGCAAAAAAATTAAATATTTAAACAAACATAAGTGCAATCTTTTAAAATAAACCAAGATAATTTAAATTTTAAGCTATTATAAAAACGAGATGAGGAAGTATTTAAATTTCATCTAATGATAGAGACAAAAAGTGGAGGGGAAGGGAAGTTGAAAGGTTTCCAATGTTGATTGCAAGTGCTCCTTCTATCTTATTTATAAGTTCCAAATTTAGGAAGGAGTATAATTTATTTTATAAGTTTTAATTTGAATTTGTTTCAATATTTAATGTATTTTTTTAATGTTGTTTTTAAATATTTTTCTCTTGTCATATTTTGATTTCTCATACATTCTGTTTCATTCTTTTTCTTATTTATTATAAAAATATATTTAAAAATAAAATTATATTTCTAACTAATTTTTATTAATTACTCCTCTTGTACTTAATATAAAACTTATTTAACTAATTTGGTTAGATTAAGAAAGTTATGTAAGTCAGTTAATTATAAAAAATATGACATGTTTTTCCTAAAATACCATAATCATCTTTCTTAATATTTTCCTTTCTCTTCTATTTGATTATTGTTGAGAAGGTGTCCATAGGAATAATTTAGAAAAAATTAATAAATATGATAAATAAATATTATATTTAGAATTAAAATTAACTCAATAATTAGATCCTATATTAAGAATTAGAGGAATACTTGTTATTCAATGACTTTTCCTTCCCATAAAATTGTCTCCTGTGTGACCTTCACAATTTATTGCGCTTTTGATGGGCAAGGATGACCTAGTGAATAATCCATCATCCATGGGAAAAAGACCAAGGCAAGGACGGCCTCGTCTTACACGCCATATGAAAAATCTACGCAAGTCTATCTAGTTTTTTTTTTCAAAAATAAAAATATTTTCTGGGTGAAAGGTAATTTCGTTCTCAAAATATTCACACAAAAAGTTATAAATATATTAAAAAATGTATTCAATGCAATCCTAAAAGGATTAAAAAATGAATGATATCGCCATATTTCAGTTAATGTTAATTTTTTAGCTGAAAAGGTGACAACATTGGTTTTTTTTTTTTTACCATTCCTCCTAAGTAATATTAAGCAAAAAAAAAAACTTTTGGATACATACACTTTCTTAATACTACTTCTAATGCTAAATATAAGAATTAGTTGGAGATTCTGAAAGGTAGTTTTGTTCTCAAAATATTCACACAAAAAAATTATAAATATATTTAAAAAATTTACTCCATGTAGTCCTAAAAGTATTAAAAAATGAATGATATCGCCATATTTCAGTTAATGTTAATTTTTTAGCTGAAAAGGTGACAAGCATAGTCCTATTCATAATATACACTTTTAAATCTCTGTAAATTTTTTTAGCAATAATAATTTTATTTTCACTCAAAAAAAATGTACTCGCTTAAAATATCTAAAATTTTAACTAATTTTTTAGCATTGATTATCCTTTTTTCCTACGTATTCTCTCTCGCCCACTTTTCCTTGGGTTATTTGAAAAACACAAGAAATAATTATTGGGGAAGATGATTATCCCAATCGAGCCCAATGGTCACACTTCAAGAACCGTAACTAAACATTGGAAGCTTTTAGCTTCGCATCGGTTCAAATGGCCAGTGCATGTTCTGCAATATTTTCTAGTAATAAAACTCAAATATATATATTCCATTACAACAGCTAGAGTTACGTTAAAGTCCTTACTAGTATTACGGTTTTATTGACTCCTGGATTTCCACGGTATCGACCATCTTGCACCTATAAATAAGAATATACATTAATTAATTAATATAAGTAACAAAAGTAAAAGATTGAATTAGTTTTATAATATGACATTAATTACCATGGTAACAAGCTCAGATGGCAGCTGTCCCTCAAAGTTTTGGAGCAGGAATGCCAAACTGCATTCATCTATTTCTACTGTATTCTGTTTTGTTCTTGTTGCGCTTTTACTTTTTGCGTTTTTACTTTCTGTACTTTATTCTCTAACTCTACATACAACCACTCAAATTTAATTCTAGGTATTTGGCAAAAAACCAAAATATAATTTTAAAAGTGATTTTATGGTATACAAAAAAAATATGTGAGAGGAATTTTATTTTGATTTGTATAGAAACACTTTTTAAATGTGTCAAACACTGAAATTCACTTATCTCCATTTGTAACAAGTCAATAATTATGATCCATTTTATGGTTAGATTTAGCACACTCAGATGGGAAAAATATTAGATTAAATATACAAATCTTACCTGTGAAATATTCCCTCATACGGATTTGATGCTATAAAGTTTTTTTTTTAATGTAATAATATACATGAATGTTCTCAAATAAAACAAAAAAATGGCATGACCGATAAGTGCAGTTAATGTTCATTTATTTTATGAGATTTTGTTCGAGTGGGCCCATTTACTTTTTATGGTGTGAATGTGAAATTTGATTTGGCCCAATTGAAATGACCTGGGTAGCTCACCTAAGGCCTAGATGTCTTTAGCCCAAACGGATTAAAATCTTGGCGGTAGGCCCTGTTATTGGGCTTTTATGAACTTAACCCAGGGATTTTTTGATAAAAGTTGTCAAATTTAACATGCAATATAATATAAATTCTTGGGACCTCTTGCATTATAGTCACTCGAGTCTACTTCATTCCAATTTATTTTATTATTTCTGCAAAATAAAAAGGATATATATAGATTTTGTAGCAAAATTACCTTTTTTTTTTTACCCCCAACATTTAAATTAAGAGTGAAAAGTACATATATAAAATAAATTAAATAAGTATAGAACTCACCAGAACATGAAATATTTGTTGACTTATTAGTTTCAATATTTTTGTCTCTCCTGGATTTAAGTAGGACCACAAAGATGAGCACTGCCAGCAACACAATAATTGGGACTCCCACGGCAATTATAGCTCGGGATGAGTTGCACCTTCCTGCTCAAAACAACTTTGGGTTACATTTCTTTTTCTTGTTGATGATTAGATTATATATGAAATCAAAAACATTTTGATGTGTTATAAATATGAAATAATACAGTTTTGAATTTTTATTTATGAGTTTTGGAAGAAAAATACTTTGAAAAAGCATGCAGTTTTGATTTTTAAAAAATTGTAAAAAGCTCAAAATTACAGCATTCCATATCGGTAACTTATTTTATGAAAAAATCTAATGATCAGTGATGTGTGTGTGTGTGTAAGCTTATTGCATTAGATAGTGGTCATAAGAGACCTTTATCGCCAATCACACACAAACAATTTAATCAATAAAAAGTTTCACAAGAAGTGGGTGGCGGGATTAGGGTGTCAGCTACCTCTTAATTTTATAATTTTTCCCAGATATTTTTTGTGAGCCTTTTTTTTATTATTAGATTTTACAGACATTTTGGTATCTTATTTATTAAAAAAATGGTTTAATTTTTAATTTTTTTATATTTTTTTTAAGATTAATACTCTAAATGGTTCGGTTTGTTTTTAGCTTAAAGTATTAAATCTTTAAAAAATTATAAAAAAATAAAAATTAAATTATTTTTTACAAATAAGATATCAAAATGTCATTCATTTTATGTAAAATCTAATGATAAAAAGAAACTAAAATTTTTTTGAAAAAGAACCCCAAAATCAACGGGTAGCTAGGAGGCGGCTAACAAAACGCAGCTCACGCCTCAACTCAAGTGGGTAGTCTGCAATAACAACTTACGATATACAAAACAATGACAACAGTTGCATGCTGCTCATTTAATTGATTAGATTATCTACATCGTACTCTCCCGTCTTAAATATGGGACCAATTTTATAGTGTAACTTGTACTACAAAATGGTTCATATATTTAGGAAAGGGGACTGATAAATGATTTTGCTTTGAGTGAACTGTTAAGTGATTTTTCATATAAATATCTACACACCTTGTTTGGGTACGAAATCAAGAACTGCCGGAGGAGATGGTGGCAACGGCGGTGATGCGAAAGATTGTGAAGCAGTAGGATCAAAGAAGCTGTAGGTTTCATATCTAATGTTGCAGCTGGGTCTTACCACTCTTCCACCTTTCATTCCATCGCAACATTTCGGGATTTCAGAGATTGCCCCATTCAAGCAATTATTGCAATCCTTGTTCAACAAGTCCGGCGTGCATTGTGCAGGACCGTATATCGTTTGATTGCTCGGTCCCGTCGCGTTCGCCGCTGCAAACTTCTGAACAGAGTTGTGGGAAGCAGCTTTCTCTCTCAAGAACTTCATCAGCTCTGTCACCACAAAGTTGAACTGGTCCTTCTGCAACGCGTCCTGTGTGTTCCACAGATAGAAATATGGCTGTGTTTGCATGACGCCGAATATGGTTCGGTTGGAGTATCGGAGAAAGCAGTTATCGTACCACCCGATTGCTTCTCTGACGTTAGGGGCACAAACTTGGAGAAGAACAACTCTTGAATCTGTGAGACAACTGCGACAATCTTGTACCTTAACATCTCCTCGGCATAGGCCGATAACATTGACTTTGTCAGAGTTTTGGCCGGAGGACAAGTTGTAGAGGCCATAGTCGATTTTTGTGTCGGAAGAGATGTTAAATAAAAGGGATTTTAGGTTGGTTTTGAAGGTACTCTTGGTGGTCTCATCGTCGACGGTGCTGTTACCGCAGTAGAATTCAAGAAGTTTTGCTGGGCATTGGTGCCGTGATGAGATATTAGGGTTAGGTTGAGGATCAGAAAGAAGAAGAGAAGAGAAATCAGCCTTGGAGAAAGCATAGCTATTGCAAATGTACGTATTTTTCTGGATGGAGTGTTTTGAGATTTTGACTCTTCCCACTAGTTTGAGACTTTGTGTTGGGCTTCTATATATATAGTCCTTATTGTAGGGGTCCTTCTGATGAAAGAAATTCTCAATACTTTTTATAAGCTAAGACATAGTTTTAATGTGTATGATTGATTGATGTGTGTAAATTAGTATAGTAAGCATAGAAGGAGTATATATACGTGGGTGTGTGTGTGATACCTTGACTATTATCCCAATTAAGCATTTTGTGCCTTCATTTTGTGATTATACTTCATTATTTTAACCAAATCACGAGAATAAAGAAACTCGATTAAAATATTTACCAGTAATAATTATGTATTCTTTAACGATTAACCCTAATATTTACTTAGATATTAAAAAAAACAAATATGTTTTTATATAAAGAACCAAAAAAAGGTAAACGTTTTGAATCCTTAATCTTAATGTGTGTGTGTATTCTATTATTACGTTCTTCTCATTTAAGCCAATAACCTTAATCTACTTTCAAAGTGGTGAGCTTTTTTCTGCAAATGATTTTTTTTTTTTTTTTGGTTTCCGGGGGTTGGTTCAAAGTCCAGCTGCTTTGGTATGAATTTGAGATATGGTAACCTGACTATTTGGTGGGATTTAGCATTTAATTAGTTAGTATTTCCTCCGGTTTTATATATAAGTTTCACTTTTGAAGAGAAGTTTGGTCTAAAATATAAAATTTATTTTTGAGCTTATTTAAGCATTTATTATTTTTTTTCTATTTTGCCCTTAGTTGACTGTATTTAATACTCTCTCTGTTATTAATAATACCTCATATATTCTCTTTTTTTATCTTTTATTTATTTCTTTTTCTCATTTACTCTCTTAATAAATAAGGGTAAATTTGAAAAAAAATACATTTCTAACCTATTTATTATTTTTAATTAATTTTAACTGCTAATTTGTTAAAAAATTCAATTATTTGAAGCTTATATATAGGATCCAAGAGAATATAATATATGATGTATTTAATGCTCTTTTTGTGAAACAATTATTAAAATCACACAATTTAAAATGTTAGTTAAATTTAATTTAAGCAATAAATGTATAAGATAGTCTCATTATACCTTTATTTGTAAATAAAGTACATGAGAGATAATAAATTAAAATTTATTGCAGAGAGATAATTGATGATATAAGTGACATACATTTAATGTGAAGAAAACAAATTAAAAATTTCAGGCAAAAAGAATTTGTTTTTATATTTAGAAATATCTTTATGAGAAAGATTGTTTCTCATAAAAATGGAGGAAGGGAGTAATGTTTTACTTTACTGTTGAGTGGTTGAAAAAATCCATTATCTTGATTGAAAAAAAAAGGTTTAATTTAGGCATATTTATATTTATAATTTTCATACAAAGGAGTGTATGATGGAGAAAATATATATAAAAAAAGGTTTAATTTAGACATATTTAATTTAGACATATTTATATATATAATTTTCACACCAATTTGACCAGTTCTCTACCGGTTCAACTCCCTCCTGGTTTAGCATCCAAACTGAACCCGTCCACTGACCGGTTCACCGGTTTATTGGTTGAACTAGCCGGTCCGAACTGGTTTTTTGTTCACTGCTATAAATAACATGACGTAATGATGGCTCAACTGTTGGCCGACGTAAAAGATTGTTCTCATATTTTTTGTCGCTTATAAAGGTTATGTTTAATCATTGTTTTTCTTAAATAGCTGAATTGCATATTAGTAAGATCTAATTTACATACAAATTTTTATATTTTATTTTAATTTATAACAAGTTATACTATTCATAAATCACAGATTATTCATTTAGCATAATATGTGGCACGGCAAAAAATATCAGGGCTTCATCACCATTTCAAGCTGTTTCCATTTATATAACAGAGAAAATGTATTGTTTATAGTGAAAAGGAGAGCAAAGCCATGGGAAACAGCTAGTGTGCATAATTAATTAGCTCACATGACAGATAATTAATACTGGTATTCAAATAAAACCAAATCTTGAAGACAAGAATAAAACATACTTAAGATTTATATATTACCTTCGGTCTTAATTATAAGATATCATTTATAAACTATAAATGAGATTTTATAATTAGGATCAGAGATTATATAGTTCATAATGTTAATACCTAAAATGTTAAGAATAATTTGGTCAAATATTCCAAAAATTTATTGATATTAATGCTAATGCTGCTATCCTTTTTCTTATTATCAGTGCCTATTTTTCTAATAAGATAAGAGTACTGTTTTTATTCTAAGGTAATAATTAAATCAGAACACACTTATCCCATTTGAAGTAAAATTATAACTTTAATAGATATGGTAAATGTTGGTTTAAATATTATAACAGTACTCTTACCTTTGGCCAACGAAAAAACTCCTATCAATTTCTTTTTAAATATCAATTGCCAGCCATAAGAGGTATAGATTGTGCGAGCTAATTTCAGCCAAAAGTACCATGTGAAATAAGGATTGGAACCCTTTAGTTGAGCTTTCTCATTTAAGTCTCAATTAACGGATATTAACTATTAGATGCCCTCTAATAGTGTTGAGATAAAGATCTTTATTTAATTTTTTTAAAATAAATTTGTAATTCCCTCCAAAGTTATCAAATTCATGAGTTTAAATACACTTATGATAAATATGTGAACTCAAATTATAAACTTGAATCATAAACTTGTAAAAATTTACTTTTATTGAAAATTAGTATTAAAAATATATAGTTAAATAATTAAAATATAAAAATAACAACAATATTATTTAAATATATTTTAAATCCAAATAATTGAAATTAAATTTATTATCGTTCTTAATATGCCATATTTAACAAATTTTTTTTTTTTACAAATTCATATATACAAAATCATTGAACATAACCAAATTAAAAAATTAACACGAATTTAAGTGTAAGGTGACACAATTTTATAAATAACTCTTCTCATGCATTAAGTTCAAATCCTCATACAATTTGTTCATGGTAAGTGAATAGGGATGAGCAAAACAGTTGGAAGAATTTTGGGTCTTAATTCATGTCTTAAACCATGTGTGAAGCCATCCAGTGTAGTAACTTCCTAGAACTTGTTTCTATCTTTAATTCAAGGCTACATTAGCACTTGGAATTGTGAATACGATAAGGGCATTTCAGTCAAAATCCTTTTGACCAAACAACAGCCATTTACACTAATCCGTTGCTTAACCCCTTGAGCTTTTCACTGCTCGTTAAAAATTTCAGCATGATTGATGAACATTGCATATTTTGGATACTGTGAGAATATGAGTTGCTGACATGATGGTTCAGTTCTGTGATGGTATATGTGTTGATAGAAGTTAAAAATCTATTATAGAAAGCTTGATATAATCCTACTTGTCTGACCGTACAATCACTGCTGCAGTGATGAAAAAAAAATTTTAGAAGAAAAGATACAAAAATAATAAATGAAGAGATACCAATGAAGACAGAAGAAAAGAAAAAATATATGAAAAAAAAGGAAAGAGAAATAAATAAGCAGCTGAATTGGCAAGGTTGAGGAAATATATTCGTTCATGATTATGATTATGTCAACTTGCTGATATAATTCATATTTGGATTCATGTGTGAAGAATTTTGAACAGAAAATTTTCTCGTGTGCTAAGCAATTTAGTAAAATGCATATGTTCATTGACCATTGACATTCATTTTCCATTCCAACATTTGGCCTTTCCAACATTACAACCTTAACAAGCCCCTTTGATTCACAAAACCTTGTAGCCAGTGAATGATGGAGATGTAGGATGGCTATAAGCCTATGGTGAAGCCTAAACTAGATTGTTCTGAGAGAAATTACCTTGATCTCTGAGAGTGAGAAAAACACTTTACCTTAAGAGAAACATTATCTTTCTATTTCCTTGCCGTGTCTAAATTGCTTGATTGTGATTTGATCTTTTGGCATGCGGTTGTTCTTTATTGATGGCATTTAAAGGGAATGGTTGATGAATACAAGTATCTCACTCTTGAGCATGATTTAGCACTCTTTATTGATAATGTGCTTGAGACTTTGCTTTATTCCATCATTCTGTCCCAAGAATGCCAAAACTTAAGTGTGGGGGAATTTGATAAATCATGTTTTTCATATGCTTAGAATGTATATTGTAGGCTATTTTAAGGAATAGATTGACCATTAATTGCATAAATAAATAAATAAGATGTTGATACACTTGAGTAAAAGAATTAAGCAATTGTGATAGTTTAATAGTTTTTATGAAATTCCACAATTGGATATTACTTCTGGCTTATTGTTCTGAATTCAAGGGCAGAATGGTAAAAATAAAGTGGCAGAAACATATTTCTAGTGAGGAATGAAAGGGGAGTCCAGAGGAAAAGCAATTCCATCACTGATAGAAACTGATTTTTATCACCAATGGAAAAGAGTTCCAATCGAAAATACTTACACTCAGTTTCATAAATTTCAATTGGGAAGCGGGAAAACTCAAAAAAGTTAAAAATTCATTCCAAGCCAGCAAAGAGCCAACAGAAAAAAAAATTAGTTACAGCAACTTGGAACCCAAAAACAAGATTAATAACTGCAGAGGAAGAGGAAGTGGGGGAGAACTGAACGATTTCATTTTCTGGCTACCTGATTGCTTGGATAGGCTCATACACTTGAGATACTCCTTTGTTCACTGGTTCTTATTCATCTCTGTCTTCTCAGAATGCCTGCATAGTTATTGCCAAATATGATATTTTCATGGCAGAGCTACAGTCTGAGTTTGAGAGAGGAGAAGTCGCCGTCATGTGTAGCTAATTCTGTAGATTCTTCCAAGAGCAATGCCAAATTTGAGCTATTGGATTGTAGAGGGAATTTACATTCATCTATCTTCTTCAATTGCTTTATTAGTTGTAGAGTAATTAGAATAGAGTTCAGTTGTACTCTATTTAGATATCGAATTGAATGCTATATAACCGAATGTTGTAGAGAATTTGGTAATTCATTCTTGAGTTAGAAATTAATTAGATTCTTGTTTCAATTTAGTGATTTGAACTTTGTGGTTTGATTAATTGAGTCATTCGAATGGAAGTTCTGTTTGATTAAGAATGATCAGTTATCTGCACATTCAATGGTACTTAGCTCCGAATTAGATAATGCGATGAAGATGAAGCAAAACTCTTAGGAGAATTAATACTCTAATTGCTTTTTTTCCCCTTAAGTTCCAAGGCATTATTTACATATTCATTCATTGCCATTTTGCTACTGCATCTGAAATCAATAAAGAATCTTTTCCATTAATCTGAAGCGTTGGTCTGTCCCTATACTGTTTACAAGTAAATTGTGATTATTTTGCTTAGAAATTCAGAGAGTTATTAGACCCATTGATTCGACACCTAGGCTGCATCATTGTACTGCATACCTCCTCTCTATTGTTTTTTATTGCCTATATGACTAAGGGTAAATCAAATGGCGTTGTTGTCAGCCTTTTAACTCCTGGAGATTCATTCTGATTGTTGCATTGTTCTTCTGCTTTGTTCTGATTTTCTGTTGATAGTTCCAATCTGTGGTGATTATCTTGTTTCCATCTGAATAATATACTCTTGTATGAGCCATGACTTTACAGAATTTTATCCCTTGGATATAGAAATTAATAGAACTTTAAGAAATCTAAAAAAAGCCAAACAGCTTCAGGCAACCAATGCTCTACCAGAAACATCACCTATTCCTCTTACACCTTCATCTACTGATTCAGTCAACTCTAACCCAACGCATATATCTGATACAGAATCTTCCTTAGGGCATTTCCTTGATCATCATTTCATCATGAGTCC